CACCAGCGGCAGGCTGTACCAATTAGTAAACTGTTAAAAATGTATGACAAGTTGAAATTAATTGGTGGCAGTTTGACCCAGGCCATGGTTCCATGGCCTGACTGAGTGAGACCAGAGTGGGGAAAACTCTAGAAAAGAAGCAGCAGCCATTTGGGGCCATTTTCCCTCTAGTGCTCTCCCAGAGTGGGTCCCAGGTAGGTTCAGGTGGCCATCCTCACTCACCTGCGCCGGGGCCCCAGCCAATCGTCTTGCTGACTCCAACCCACCCTCTTCTCCCCAGTGGCAAACATGGCTGGAAATGTATTGAGGCTCCCTGCCAGCCACCCTTGTATCAGGCCACACTAGCCCAGTCTGGCCGGGGTTGGACACACGCTGAGCAAACACCTAGCCTATTTACAGAGCTGCCAGTCCCTGAAACTCCCCACCACATCCGGGAGAGGTGCCCTGGAGCCTGGAACCTCCAAATTAGTGAAGGGAGTGGCTACAGCCTCACGGTTCAGAGTCAGTGTCCCCTCCTGGCTCCATGTCCCGCATCCTTTCCTTTTCCAGGGTGGGTAGAGCCTAGATGGTGTCTGTTTCCTGGTTCTGAGGATTTCCCATCTCCAGTGTCAGATACATCTGGAACCATGGAGACTCAGGCCTGTCTGAACAGCCATTAGAGTTATTCAGAGACTTGGGCCAGACTGGGGAGCCAGTGCGGGCATCATAGGCCTAAAATTGCTCCTTCCCCTTCTCTGTCCCCACATATGACCCTCCATTGTCCACATCAGCATGGTCCGTGTATCACCTGCAAACTCCACAATGTCGGGTGCAGACAGGACCCCACAGGCAGAGGCACCAGAAAGGGTTCCAGCTCCCCCACGGCCCTTGGCAAGCCCTCTCCTCTCTCCGGGCCTCAGCTTCTTCGCAGCTGAATGAAGGGCATTTAACCAGGTGATGTCTCAGGACCTTAAAATTCCGTGAGTCTCTGAAGCAGGTAAGAGATGACGATAATGCTGTTACTAACACTACTAGTACCACGATGACGACGACGGTGCTGGGTGCTGGTGGAACATAGATTTTGCTGGTGCTGCACTGGGTGCCTCTCACACACGCTCTCTCACTGCACGGCAACCCATGCAGGAGACGTACTCTTCTTCCCATCTTCCAGATGAGAGAACTAAGGCACAGAGAAGTCAAGTATCCTGGAAGGTCACACAATCCCAACCATGCAGGCTGCAGAGCTCCTGAGGCTTGTGCCTTGCCTGTCTCAGGCCAGATTATCCTGACACGTTGAGGCCCCAGCCCCTGAGCCCTCTTCTGCTTGTAGTTGGACAGAGAATGAAAGGCTCACTGTTGACTTGCCCGAAACTGACCTTCCACTTTGGCAATTTGGCCTGCTGGCTGCTAGGGGCCCGTCTTTCTCTTGGTCTCAAAAGCCTTTCACGTCACATCCATTTTTGTTGAAAGGATTCAGCATGTTAGGTAGGATTCACAGCATTAGTTAGGCCTCCAACCCCCAGACCCAGACAGGTAACTCAGTGATTCTGGGGGCTCTCTCAGCACCTTCCTCACGACTGCATGCAGCATGTTAGGTAGGATTCACAGCATTAGTTAGGCGTCCAATCCGCAGACCCAGACAGGTAACTCAGTGATTCTCAGTGATTCTCTCAGCACCTTCCTCATGACTGCATTGCTGTGTCTGGGGGTAGCACGACCTCAATGGGCCTCAGCCCATGAGGGGTGAAGTGAGAGCCAGGGAGGCCAAACAGTAGCTCCCTAGAGAACCCCTAGCTCAGAGGTGCTGAGGGCAGGAGAGGGTCGGGTGGGCCTGACTCCAGGCTGAGGCCAAAGGGGTTCAGACACCAACCCTGGTCACCCAGCATATAGCCTCAGAGAGGACACAAGCAACCTGCTTTACAGATGCCATGCCCAGCCCCAGTCCCCCCAAAAGGACACTGGGGACTCAGGGAGGGGGTCAGATCACCTGTATCTTCTCCCTGCCTGAGCTCCTCCTCCTGGGGTCTCCCCTGACCAGCAGCCAGCACAGCTTCTGTTCCCAGGACAGTGCCCAGAGCAGAAAACTGCTTAGTAAGTACACGTTTTTAAGCATTAAGAATGAACAAATCTTTCTATTAAAATAAAGTTAATAGAAATAACAAGAAAAGAACCCTCTTTTCAAATGCAAACTCCTGTCCTCTAAATGACTAACTCCAGATTTAAACGGCCTGCCCTGGCATTTTCCCTCAGAGGCCGCAAAGACATCTTCAATTTTAATGTCCAAACAGGACTCTTACTGTCAGCTTTACTGGGCTCAGTGCACAGCCTCGCCTTACCCCCACTGACCCAAGCCCTAAGCCCTGGAGTCCCCTTGATTGCTCCTGTCCTCCGACCTCACATCCGACCCATCGGCCAGATTCTCTCTCCAAAACACATTTCACTCTGACCATGGCTCTTGAGCCCTCTGCCCTAGTCCGGGCCTCTCACATGCTGTAGCCCGCTGCTCACCTGGCCCCTGCTTCCACCCCTGCCTGGTTCCAAGCTACTCCCCCCACAGAGGGTTGGATCACATCACTCCTCTGCTTCAAACTCACCCAGCGCTTCCCACTACGCTTAAAATAAACTCCAGCTCCCACCACATGACACGTGGGATATGGCCCCTGCCTGCCTCTCCACTCCTTTGGTCCTGCTGTTCCCTCCACTGGGAACTCCCTTCTCCTGGCTCCTTCCTTCTCATTCTCAGATGCCAACTCCAATGTTGTCTCCTCCAAGTTATCTGGTCCAAGCACGGTACTAAAGTAACACTTCTCCCCTGCACCAGGGGTCCCTCATGCCCCCTCCACACCAGGGGTCCCTCATGCCCCCCTCCAGGTCCTCACTCTACCCTTGTCCCCTTGTTCTGTGCTCCAGAGGGACTGACCATACCAGCCACATCAAGGGGCCCTCACGTCCCTCTGACTCCAAGGTGGGTTCAACCAATGGGGAGCCCCAGCAGGAGACAGGTTAAGGAGAAGAGGTCGGGGTGTTTTACCCGCCTTGGTCCCTCCCTGCAGGGCTCAAGGGGAGGCTCTGCCCCGGATTGAGAATTTCGGCTCCTATCACGTGACCGCCCTCCCTCCGCCTCCCCCACCATTCAATCCCTTCACCCAGCTCTCTCCATCTCTGGGTTCGAGTAATTGCTCCTTCCCTCACCCTGTCAACACTGGGGTGGTGGGGGGAAGGCAGCCCCTTTCTGTGGTTTCCTTACTCCCTGCCCACCTTTCATAAACAGTCTCCCTTTCAAACTCCCCTCAGATGCCTGATTTGACTGTCATGTCATCTGTCCCCTGCTAGGACCCCAGAGGATACACTGCCACCCTCCTCACTTCCGCCTCTCCACCTGTTCGATTTCCTCATAGAACTTCTCACTGCTCGAGATTATTGCTTGTTCATTATCTCTGTCCCTCCCATCAGAATATAAGCTCCATCTGAGACCAGATTTATTACATCATATGTCAGAGGAATAGAGCAAACCTAAACTCACACCACCTAACACCAGGCTCAGGCTCTCAAGAAAGTCCAGCCAATTCTGCGAAAGTTCCTCCTTAAATCACACTGACTTTTAAATGCCTTCACATGACATTTCCCAAACTGAGATCAAGTGACTCTCATTTGGGAGGTGTTAACAGTTGGCAACCTTATACCGAGAGTCAATATTGGCCTGATTTTTCTCATTTCACTGTGAGCCCGTGAAAATTTTACCCCAGACTGCTATGACATCAGGTTCAAGTCTGTCCATCGGCCCCAGTCAGGACTGGGGAGACCCTCATTCACTGTTCTCTCCAAAGCCTGAGGGGCCCCAGCATGAGGCATTTACTCCATGGGCTTGATTTCATCTCCCTCCACCCAGGTCCATGCCTTGGGCCCAACTCGCCTCTTCCTCGTTCGTTCCAGGCTTGGGACTCTGGACTGCAGCCCAGCCTGGGATCAGCGTGACTAAGGCAGAGCTGAGAGCATCAAACACGAGTCAGAGCAAATCCTGGTCTCTGTTCTGTCACCAGTTTACCTTGTAACTTTGGGTAGGTTGCCTTCCCACTATGGGCCTCAGTTTCCCCAGCTGCTTCTACTGTTCCTTCTACTTGGGACTCCCTTCCCCATGAGCAGGGTGGGCCATATGCTCTCCTAGCACCCTCCCTACTCAGGCGGTGAGGTCTTGCCCAGTGGTGCAGTTTCCATGGATGATCATCTCTCTCTGGGAGATAAGAAGGGAGGGAAAAATGTTAGCCTGACTATGATATGTAATTGCTCAAAGCCGCACACATACCCTTGATCTTATTTCACTTCGAACCAAGACTTACTCTTTGGGTAATCTTTCTGCTGTTCACTATGTGAGTTTTAAACTTTATTTCACATCCATTCGTGCCTGTGTGTCATTTGTCCCAACATCTATAAATTTCTGTGTGGGAGCATCCAGTATGGAAGGCTGAGCGCCTAAACAAATCAGGATTTTATTGAATCTATAGATTAATTTAGGGAAAATTGACATTTTACCAATATGGAGTTTCGACCCATGAACACAGTATTTTTCTCCATATATTTAGTTCTTCGATTTCCCTCAACAACATTTTATAGTTTTAAATGCACAAGTCTTTCACACCTTTCATCAGATCTCTCCCTAAGTATTTTATTTTTTATGCTACTGAATAGTATTTTTAATTTCAATTTCCAATTGTTCGCTGCTAGGATATGTGAATACATTTAATTTTTTTTTGTATATCAGTCTTATATCCTGCAACCTTACTAAACTCATTCATTAGTTATCATAACTTTTTGCAGATTCCATCAGATTTTCAACATAGACCATCTGTTTTGTCTGTGAATAAAGAGAGTTTTATCTCTTCTATTCTAATCTAAACAACTTCTTTGGCAAAACTCCATTGTAATGCTGAATAGATGTGAAAACAGTCATTTGCCTCACATTCCTAATCTCAGGTAGAAGACATTCAATTTCACTATTAAGTATGTTGTTAGTTGTAGGTTGTTTGTAGATGTCCTTTGTCGGATGAGAAAATATCTTTCTATTTCTACTTTGCGGAAAGTTTTTGTCAGAAATACGTGTTGTATTTTGTCATATGCTTCTGCATCTGTTGAGATGATGATATGATTTTTTCTTTTTCGGTTTGTTTGAAAACTGACTAATTTCCAAATGTTAAAATAAACATGCATTCTTTGTATAAACCACACTTGGTCATATAATAACACATCATTTTTGTATTTTTAAATTCAATTTACTAAAATTTTACATAGAAATTTTGCATTTGTGTTCATGATAGATGTTGGCCTCTAGCTAGCTTTTTTTGTAAAACATTTTTCTGATTTGAGGAACAGAGTGGGGCTGGCCTCGTTGAATGCATTTGAAAGCATTTCCTTCCTTTCGATTTACCCGAAGAGCTTGTTTAAAAATTGGTATTATTTCTTTCTAAAATATTTGGTAGAATTCACCAGTGAAGCCATTTAGGCCCAGAGTTTTCCTTGTGAGAAAGTTTTCAACTACAGTTTTAAATACTTTTTTAAACAGATAAGGGCTTTCAGTTTCTCTATTTTTTCTTAAGTAAGCTTTAGTAGTTTGTGTCTTTCCAAGGATTTGTCCATTTCATTTAACTTACTGAATTTAATGGCATTAAGTTGCTCATAACATTCCCTTTTCATGCTTTTAATGTCTGTGACTCCATAGTGACATCACTGCTCTCATTCCCGATGTTGGCCATTTTGTCTTTTTTTCTTTAACCAGTCTAATAAGGGGTTTATTCATTTTATTGTCTCAAAAAAAAAAAAAAAAACAGCACTTGCTTTTATTGATTTTCCCCATTGGTTTTCTGATTTTCATTTAGTAGATTTTTAACTTTAACCTACTTATGCCTCTGTGTTTGCAATGCAGTGGTCTTGAATGGCTGTTCTTGCCTGCTCGCATCCATCCTCCTTCCTCTGACTTTCCTTTAGGGACCTCCTGACCTTCCTCTCTTCCTCAAGGTTATCGGGTGAGGCTTTAACACACATCTGGCTCTGGAGTCAGCAAATGAACCAGGCCCAGCCACGCAGTGACTTCCATTCCCCCAGCCACATGTTGGGCTCGGGGATAGGACAAACATGACACAGGTTGGTCTTCAGAGTCAACCCTTGGATTTTTGATGAAAGTCTGACGTGAGGGGACAATGGTCTCATAAGCACTCTGAGGCCATTAGACCACTGTCCATCAGCCAGTCGGCCCCACCAGACACAATCGCCGCAGTGTCTCATCAGCTCAAGAAATGTTCAGGCCCGGGGATTTCCTCTGCAAACTCCCTGTGTAAAGCAAAGATAAGAATCCCCCATTATGTCCACAACCAGGAAATTAGCATGTCTTCCTTCCCGATCTTTTTTAAAGCCACGTTGACAGCCCATTTCCCCATCGTGAGCCCGCAGGAGCAATACAACAGCACGTAGCATGAAAATAGACATCAGCTCAGCTGCTCTGTGGGGTCTTCTCCTTGCACTGGTGGGGCTGGAGCAGCAGGGACTATATGGGGAGCCAGATGCCCAAGTGGGCGGGAGATGTATCATTCTCAGCACCTGCCACTTTCCAGTAGGGCCTGGGAGCTGAGTCCGTAATTTTTCTAAATCTCAAGTCCCCTCTGCCCACCCTCCCTTCCTTCCTTCAACAGATATTTACTGGTGCCAGTGGGGTGCAGACCCTGAGCTGGGGTGGGCATTACGTTATGGGGGTGCCTGAGACTGTCATCCCTTTCTTGGGATGAGAAGTGTCCTAACAGATGGAGATACTGCAGTGACAATAGTCACGTATTTATTCAACACATTTGTTGAGCACCTACTATGCAACAGCCACTGTGTCAAGGGAATTCAGTAAATCTGCCATGGTCCTAGCCCTGTGAAGCTCACAGTCTAGAGGGAAACAGAGATTAATCAAGGATACCAAGATGTGTAAGTTACAAGTGCAGTCAAGGTTATACAGTGCTAGGTCAGCATGTCACAGAGGCGTCTCGGCAGGCTAGAACAGCGAATCTGGGATCTGAAGGGTGAATAGGAGTTACATGAATTTGGGGGTGAGGGGGAACATTTAGACAGGGGAGTAGAATGTGCAAAGTCTCCGTGGGTGAACAGCTGTTGGACCATGGACACCTCCAAGGCCTGTGTGATTGGAGGGCAGATTGTGGGTAGGAGTCTGGTGTGAAATGAGGCCGGAGGTGGGGAGGCAAAGGCCAGACTATATGGGGCCTCAAATGCCACCAAAGAGATTTGGGGTTTTGTCGTAAAAAAAAAAAAAAAAAAAGCAGGATCCCACTGAAGTGTCTTAAGCGGAGACTAAAGGTCAGAGAGGGAATTGATATGATAGTAGCTGCATTTCCAGAACAATCCCGAAGCCACAGTGAGGTGAATTGTGATGGAGGGAAGTGAAGGAACAATGAAACCTGAAGGAGGGAGTGAGCACCTCAGCTTAAAGGGAGAAGGCAACTTCCATTGGAGTAGGAGATGGAGATGGGGGGCATCCACGTCGGCATGGCGGTCTCTCAGTCATTCAATGCATGTGCTGGAATATGGCTCATCCTGGCCACCCTCAAAGAGTGTCCTTCCTTTTGGGTCCCACCTCCACAGTCCTGGGGCAGGAACCTGGATGACTCAGCCTGGTAGTCACAGCTGCAAAAGGAGGTCCCAACAAGTCTGCAAGGCAGACACCTGCATCCCCACCTTCAAGTTCAAAAAGGTGAAGGCATTTGCATAAGGTCACACAGCTCCTGAGAAGCAGCACCATGGTGTCCAGGCTGATGATGACGTTAGGGAGAGACACTGTGAGCAGAAGGTACTACCCACCCATGTCTTCCCTCAATGACAAGGACAAGCGCCTGGAAGAAATGTCCATTGAGGGTTTACCATGTGTCCAATAGTGATTCTAAGCACACCCACCCATGTCTTCCCTCAATGACAAGGACAAGCACCCAGAAGAAATGTCCAATGTTTACCATGTGTCCAATAGTGATTCTAAGCATTTTGTACCTACTAGTTTCTTTCATCTTCACAAGAACCCCATGAAGATGTGTCAGCCAAAATAATGCTGTGTAACAAACAACTACAAAATATAATACTTTAATACAATAAGTATTCACTTATCTTACCAGCCCGTGGGTCAGCTGGGCATTTTTATTCTGAGTTTGGCTGTACTTCTCATGCAGTTGCGGTCAGCCTGGGGGTCAGCTGCAGGTCGGCTTTGCTGATCGTGGCTGAGACAAATGAGATGACTCGGTTCCACGTGGTCTTTCATCCTTCAACAGGTAGCCCGGGTTTGTCCACATGGAGGCCTCAAGGATCAGAAGGCTTTTGGAGGCCTGGGCTCCCATGTCCCTTCCACCATATAAGTCACAGGGACAGCCCAGATCTAAGGGATGGGGAAGACACTCCACTTCTTGATTGTAAGAGCTAAAAACGCACATTACAAGGGATGCGAACACAGGGAGGAATAGAGACTTGAGACACTGTAACAACAAACGTCCACAAGGTAGGCATTACTGCAACATCTCATTGAGGCTCAGAGTGGTGCGCTGACTTGCTTAAGATCACATAGCTACAGAAGGGTGGAGACCAGGTCTGTGCCCTTCTCCATGACTCTGCTGCCTTTTGGAAGCTGTGAGCAAACCCACAAGCAGAGAAAGCTCAGGGCTTCCAGGTTGGAGAGCCCAGGACAACCCCAGGGTTGAGGGAGGCTGCCATTTGTCTGTGTCAGGTGGCCTAAAGCCTCAGGAAGCCAGGGGGGCTGACAGGGCAGAAAGGTGGGCTTATCAGGCTCTGGCAGAGCCTGGAAGTCACCAGATGAAGCTCTGCTGTCAAATGGAAGGTCTGGATTAGATACATTCATTCATTTGTTCATTCATTTGTTCACTCATCCACTCAATAAATATGACCTTGGAAGCAAGTCTCCTTAACAAGCTCTAGTCTGGCATTTGTGTGGTAAGACTCATCTCAGATGTCTCCTCCTCCAGGAAGCCCTCCTTGATTCATAGAGCCAGTTGCCTTTTCATTTTGCTTCCGTAGGCCCCTGCAAATGTCCTTGAATTGTCAGTGCCAGTTCCTGTACTGCCCCCAGCCTCACCTCAGGGTCCCATGAGAGATCCAGACTCTAGAGGGCAGGCAGGGTCACATCTTCATCTTCAGGAGTCTCCCCTCCACATAGGAGGTCTGGGATGCTTCTCTGGACCAGAACCTTGCGGAACTCACAGCAGAAGCTGAGGAACACTGGATGGCAGGAAGAAGGAGGTGGAGAAACTAAAGGGTCCTGCTTCAGAGGCACCGATAGAACTGGAGGCAGAGAAGACACTTGGGAGTGAGGAAATCAGAAAAGATTCAGCGTTAAAAGTGGTCACACGGTGACCTGTGACATTTTGCTTAATCAGAAAGAAATTGCTCTGCGCCTCGAGTAGACTGGGAGGTTTCTGGAGCAGAACATTCTTTACATTTCTCACATTTCGTTTGTGCTGAGCTGGACGCAACCCAGGTTCCAGGAGCCAGAGAGAAACTCCAGCGCCCGGGCCTGGGAGAGAGCAGAGGCTCCGACCTGGGGTCTGAGCGCACCCTCTCCTCACCAGCCTTGTGAATGCCCACGAGTTCCCGTCTAGTGAAGAATCTTCCTGCGTCCCAGGCCTGGGGGGACCAGGGTGATGGACACAAGGCTGAGGACACAGAGCCCGTGTGTTGTCACAGCTCAGGAAACCTCTGTGAGGTGAAGGACAACAGCAGAGACAGGCCCAGGATCTGAGGTCTCGGAGCCACTGACTCACTTCCTCTCCCTCACTCCTCACCCCTGCCCTGAAGGGTGGAGCTTCTTCCGGAGAGACATGAGGAAATCGAGACTCAAAGGGGTCAAGTGCAGTGCCCAAGGACACACTGCTAGATCCTGGTCTGTGCTCTTCCCATGACCCCAGATTACTTTTCTGGCCCCCCAAACACCTTCTGCAACCCTTAAGGTCATATCCTGGACGTCCAAGGACCTCCCAGGCCTTCCACACGGCACTCGTGCTTGGCCCAGCCAAGCTATCAAGCTCTTCTTCCTCCTGGTCCTGACCCATCTCCACTCTGTGAGAGCAGATTGATCCTAACAGGTCCTTTCCTGGCTGGGTGACTTGGCCTCTTCTCTCCACCTCCCTGGAGCCATAGTTCCCTCCCCCATAAAACGGGACAATTGGGAAACTTTCTCATCTGTAACAAGAGATGGGGCTGCTGTAGGATGCAATGATATAACCTATGTCCATTTCCCAGCAGAGAGCCTAGCACATGGTCACCGCTCGATATTTGGGAGATTTTAACGCCCACAAAAGTAATATTGCTCTCTTGCATCCCTGCAACCTGGGAAGTAGGGCCCCCTTTTTGTCAGCTATGATGGCCACAGACTTTGCTCACAACAAAACACATCCTGGCAGCAAGGGTCAGAAATGGGCTCCACCACCCCATTCCCCCAACCCCAACTCCCAGCCCCCAGCTCCCTGGCAGCCTCCACAGAGGGAGAGGTAGCAGAGCCCAGCCCTGTTCAACCTCCCTCCTACCTATCACAAGGAAGCTCAAGGTCTCTGGGTTGGCACTTAGTGAGATCTAAGGCCGCAGTCAACAGACCCTGCCCATGGCCATCTCCCTTCAGATTGTCTTCCTGACCACCCCCAGGGCAGCTGGCCTTCGAGGACTCCTCTCTCTTCTCAGATTCCTGCAAAGACTGACCTTTCCACTACAGTGGGTGGTAGCGAGCCTTGTGCTTGCAACAACTCAGCCTAAGTTAAGATCCAGGCTTTGCCTTTCTAGCCAGCCATGTGACCTTAAGAAAGGTCCCTTCTCACCTGCTTTTCTGCACCTTGGGTTTTTCTGATCTTCTCCTGCCTTTAGGCCTTTGCAGTGCTGTTCCTTCTGCCTGGAACACTCTTCCCACATTTCTTCACCTGGCTGTTACGCATTTGCAATGTCAGTTCGCTACTCACTCTGGAACCTCACCAGAAGGTCCCAGCCTAGGTTTGGTTTTTCCTTGTATTTCCCTCTTGTCATCACATGCTCCCCCTCTCAGCTTCTAAGTATAGGAACTGACCGCATCTGGGTCACTGTCCAGGGCATGAAGATGCCCAGTAGATGATGGACAGATCCAGAGATAAGTAAGTAACCCTCCATCTCCTCCCTCAAAGGGTAGCCATTCATCCTCCTACACTAAAAAAAAATGAAGGAAAATCCATCGACTCTGGCTCAAGTGAATTGTAAAGTATGGAAGTGGTACAAGTGGGTTTATGGGGAATCACTGCCACCTCGTGTGGACAAGAGTCAAAGACTGTCCTGCAGCCTGAATGCCAGGAGGCCAGAGGAGCGGGGAATGAAGCCCCTTCTCTCTGTGTGGAGACTCTTCCGGAGAAATGATGAAAATCCAACTCAGACAGGATTCGCAATGCTGGCAGCAGCATCGGCAGATGCATTTTTAACATTTTGGCCTTTCAAATTCTCAATATTTATCTTAATAAACATAAGCCTGGGCTTTTTTTTCTTTCTCTTTTTCTCTGCTATAAAAGGCTCAGGGAGTAGCACAGTGAGAGATGAAGGGTTGAAAGGCAGAGATAACTCATTTTTAAAGGTTTCGATCAAGTTCCACCTGAGCAGAGCAGGGCGGGGGTGGGTGGTGGGCAGGTGGACTCAGCAGGGATGAGCTAAAGGAGGCAAGGGTGGAGGACAGGCAGCTCTGGCAAGGAGGCACCCATCAAGTGGGCTTGTTTGGGTCTTCAAGCTTAGAGCAGAGATTGGGGAACAGGAGTGACAAACATTTAGGGCAGAATGACCCTTAAAGCAGGTCAGAAGAGGCCCCTGGGCTTTAGAGGAGCCCCACCGCCCTCTCTCCCACTGCCCTCTCCCATGGGGGAGAGGACTCTGCAGGCCCAAGGGATGGGGGACTGTGGGCCCTCTTAGACCTCACTCAGGACCCGGAGATTCACACCCAAGTGGCCCTACACTTGCTTCCAGGAGCCTGCCTGCTCCTCTTGCCCAGGTCTGGACTCCTGAGGTAGAGCCAAGGGTGCACACCACCCCAGAGCATGCACCCTGGGTGGAGAGGCAGCTGAGGGTTCACACCCAGCCACACTGCTCCTTAGTTGCCCTCTCCCCCTGCATCCAGCACGTCCAGCCTGGAGCTGCCAGTGAGGCAGGGCAGCCAGAGCTCAGAGCTGGAAGTCCTGCCACAGGTGGCAGTACAAACACAGTTATTTTCCATATGGGCCCTGAGGACAGGAAAAGGTGAAGGAAGCGTGGCTCTGCTCCATGCTGAGTCCTCTCCTGGCAGTGGTGACTGAGATGCCTATCACTCTGGTTACCGTGGTGGTGGTGGTGGTGGTGGTGGTGGTGGTAGTGGTGGTCACCCTCAGAAGCAGACTAGACTTGATTCTTCAGGACACTGTCCCCAAAGGGAGCTCTGGGGAGCTGCCTCCAAGGAAGAGTGTCTACAACTCCTCAAGTCCCTGTTGAGCCCTTCTCTGACACCTGGGTCAGGTCCCAGCTGAGCCTCCTGGGCCTTACCCTTCCAGATCAGAGAGGGGTCCCACAGCCTGCACTGTGCCCAAGGCTGCCCTGGGCCCTCAAGGGGCAAGACTTCCTTTTTGTCATCACAAGTGGGTCCGGCGGTGGGCCCCAGAAGTCACTACAAATACAAGAGGGATGGGAACATCAGTTATAGGGCCATCTGGGTTAGAGAGGCATGGCTTAAAACCATTCCTGAGCCTCAGTTTCCTCCATCTATGAAGCAAGAGTGGCAACAGCAATGCTATAAGCTTGGGGAGGGTTAAATGAGACCTTAGAGAAAATGCAGAGGTGGCCCTGGTCAGAGTTGCTGCAATGACCTTCTTCTGGCCCTGTGACATTAAACCGGTTGCCTCACTTCTCTAAGCCTCAGTTTCCCCATCTATAAAATGAGGATAATAATACATGTTCCCCCTTAGTTTCATTATAAGGATGAAAAGAAGTCATTATGCTTTCTGAGTCCTACATCACACACCTCAGCCCCTCTTGACGACACTGACTCCCCTCATGTCTCAAAGGAAGTCACTCTCAGGCCCACCATCCTTAAGACCCTTGTGCTCTGAGGTTGAGGTGAGGAGAAGCAGAAACGAAGGGTCTCTACACTCCTGTCCCAGAGAAAATGAAGAAGTCCCGTAACTGGAGTTGGCTCGATGTTTCACTCACCGATTGTAAAACCAAACAGCCTGTCCTAGAAATATTGGTATTATCTCTAATTTCTTTTACACCATTTTAAATGCAGTCATTACAGGGTCCAGCTGTTTAGTGAAAGAAGCATCAATATGGTTCTTGCCTCCTATGCATGAGGAATTATACTTTCCCTGGAGCCCTCTGCATGCTGCAGGTGTGTCTATTAAAATGGAGGCCATCTTAGCTATATGAGGGAGAGGAGATTATGCCATAATGGGCAGGCGAGGGCCAGGGATTCAGTTAGACCAGGGCATGGCCTGGCAGGGGCATACATCATAGCATTAGGGTCACAAACAAACTCTTTGGCCAGCCCTGAGGATCTGAGTCATCTACTGGGGGCCAGAGCCCAAGAGACTTATAGGGATGGCCAATGGGAACCCACAATATGAGGTAATGATTAATGGCCAGCATTTCCTGAGGACTCACGATGCACCAGGCACTATTTTAATATTTCTATACTTATTTATCCATTTAATCCTCTCTACATCCCATGAAGCACACATTCTGTTATTGTTCACAATTAGCAGAAGAGGAAACTGGGTGATAAGAATTAAGCAACTTGTTCAATGCCCCATAGTTGGTGAATGATAGAGCTGAGATTTGAACTCCGGGCATCTGACTTCAAACTTGCACTAAAGCCCTGTTATAAAGTCCAGAATTCTCAGCCTCACTCTCTTAGTACAGGAGGTATTCCATAACCTGGCTCCTTCCAACATGTATCAGTTAGTTTTTGCCACATAACAAACTGCATCCTAATTAATGGGCTTAAAACAGCAATGGACTCATGAACAAAGCGGCCATGGTGACAGGGATGGAGGTTATATGTGGGCTCAACAACATGGACCTTTCTTTATCATGGCTGATCTTGCCAACGCTATTGCTGAGAGCCAATCGCAGATACCCAAGACAAGCATCAAAACCCACATATGGAACCATTCCCTTCAGGGACCTGCCAGCCACCTAGTGGCAGATTGATTACATTGGACCCTTTCACCATGGGCTGGGGCTGTGAGAATATAGACCCACCAATGTTGGCTTACACGACAGGAGCAAGGACACGGCAACCAGAACCAAGAGAAGTCCCCTTCCTCCTGTGGTGTCCTTCTAGTGCCCTTGAATAATGAAGCTTAACAATGTGCTCACTACAAAGAGTAAACACTTAGAGTCTAATCCATCATCACAGAGCTGGTACTGAAGGGTGAATTTTGAAGTGAGAGACAACACATTAATAACTTGTACAGTCCACCCCTTTGGCTGCTCGGCTTTCGTATGCTTCCACACACATACGACAACAGACTACTTTGTATTGTTACATGACAAGGTAGAGCTATCCTTTGTTCTTAAGTGAAGAAATGCTCCACCTTCCCCATCTTGGGAAGCTGTAAAGTCCCAACACTCATTGTACTCATCACTAACTATATTAATAGCTGCTAAAATTTAGTGATGGTTCCAGTGAATATTCTCTGACTTAAAGCCTAAGTTGTAAAGTTAACATTAAACAAATTGCATATAAAATAAAAATGGGAAGGAGATCAAAGAAGGAAATGCTTAATATTACAAATAAACACATGCATAAAACAAAGAGGAAATATGCAAAGTTATTGCAGTTCTCAGTTCTATAATTAATCATGGGGCTGTGGTTGATATCCATGCCTTTTTTTTTCAACTGTTAATTCTATATTTCCATTGCCTTCTGTCAGAATCTCAAGCGGTCAGCATTCTTTACCTGGTAATGTGTCCTGAACCTTCATTGCTGAAGGGTCTGTGTCTTCATTTATTCCACCTTTTTTGGTTGCTGTAGTTTTCCATTAAGCTTTACTATTGGATATGGAAGTACTAAGAGGCAACCCAGAGAATCCCCTGGGTTCCAGACATAATTCTCCTCGCCTCCATTTTGTAGCAGCAACCCACATCCCCCTTGGTAATTAAGATAAATAAGACATCTCAGATAGCAGATGAACTGTCTCTTGACCTGTTGGTTCAGTGGCACGAGGAGCCCAAAATGGCCAGGTGGCAGTCTCATCTTCAGATTCAACAGAACCACTGCCAGTCTCCTTTTTCCCCTTTGTTTTCCATCGCTGAAAGACTAAGCTGCTCAAACCAGAAGAGTTCAAAGTTGCCAGGATGGGAAGCAAACACTCTGTGAGTGGGTTATTAGAGAGA